GAAAATCTTGACAATGAAATCTTTTGATTTGGGAAGATTTTTTCCCATCAATGTTGTTACTAATGGTTTAATGCCATTAAAGACCGAGATATACGATGAAAGCGAAGCTTTTTTCTTTCTCTGGTGCACGCATGAGAGTGTGAGAGAGATATATTTTAGATTGAACTCAATCTAGTTCAATTAATATAGGGTCCGGGCAGTGCAAAAGAAGTAGTCTTTTACGTACACACAACCGAGAGCTTGACAGATCTTGGCTTCTATTATAGATATTGTTTGCATTACAGGTTCAGCTAGCTTCCTTGATTTTTCTTGGTTAATGTTGCTATTTTATCTTTCTCAAATATTGCTTTTGATGTCTTTCTCTTTACATTATTAACTATGTCTTAATTTGTCCGTTGCAAATTGATGAAGGATTAGAAAATTTCTGCTTGAATGTGTAGAAAATATAAGGAAAATACTTAAGCAGACAGCAGTCACCTGCTTCACCATGAAATCCTCACATACAAACATGTATAATTATTATTATTATTATTATTTAACTTTCTAACAAATACATGTGTGGGATAAGAGTAAAAACCTGTTCTTAGCTATAAAAAAATTAAGACAGTTATTAATCTTAGAATTTATTAGTCATCAATTTGGGGTTCTGTTGTTTTAGGATGAATAAGCAATATCGCATGAATATCCAAAAAATTGCAAATGCATGCATAGAGAAAAGATATATAATTTTTAGTTTCTTTTTATTTTCAAATTTTTATTCTCTAAAAATGGTTTCCCTCCCCCCTCCCTCCCAAAAAAAAAATTTACTAATAAAAATTTTAAACAAATACACAAGAGTTCTATGAAAACAAATGAATCAAATCAAACTTAAGTTATCATGTAACTAGGTTTGCATGTGTGTGTATATATATTTCCTGATTAGAGATTTCAACTTTGAAATTTCTTTTTGAGTTTGTTTTGTTTATAAGATCATGAGTGGGTAAAAGTAAAACCATAGTTAAAAAGATGAAGGAGAGTTAATTATCTTTGAATGTTATATGAATCAAATGAAATATAAAATGTAAATATTTTAAGAGAATCGAAAATAATGGAGCAATAAATCATTGAAAATAAAAAAAAAAAAATTACTTGAGATTCATTCACCTATAAATAAAAGACTTTAATAGATAAATAAATTTGTTGGTGAAGTGAATCATTCCCTTTATAGTAAAAGTAGAAGATGATCTTCTCTCATCTTTAATTTTATGTTAATTGGGCTTAATTGGCTTTTATTCAAATTCATCTGCAAAGCTAATATATATAAGAAGAGAATTTCACATCTACTACACCATTGCTTAACTCATCATGGTCGGTTTTCAACAAAATGCATTAGATAACACATTTTAAAATTCACTTAAAATAAATTTTCAATCAAAAAGTGTTAAATAAAATAAGTAGATATAGACTTACTCATCACTTAATACAAAAATGTTCAATAAATTTTTCTTATAAATTTTTTTGAATTATTATCTGCAATGAAAATAAAGCTAAGATAAAATTATAAATTTTCAAAATTCAATATTTTATAGTTATCAAAGAATATATTTATATTCAGTATTTAATCAATAATAAAATTTCAAATTTTAATATTTTATAGTTATCAGAGAATATATTGTTCTCAAATTATTATATTTCCCCCCACCAAATCAAAAATACAAAGCCCAAACAAAAAAAAAAAAAAAAATTGGGTTTGTTGGGTTTACCTTATCTATTTGCGGAAAAAAAAGAGTTATTACCTTTGTTATATATGCATCTCCTTCTATTTCAAATCAAATATCTTATTGCGAAAAAGATGAAAAAAAAAAAAGTTTAAGAATAAATTATGTAACTTTTGGTATTTACTCAGATTATAAAAGGTTGAAAAATAAAATGATTAAAAGATTATGTAATGAACATTCGATTTAGAATAAAATACAACAATATAAAAACTTTGGCTTGATGCGCAATGGCCCATCAAGAAATGATGAACAGCAAAAGTTACATGTAATATATGAATATATCAAGCAATGTTGGCCGAAATAGCCTTTCGCTTCATGCTTCAAACATGAATTCTTCTGGAACTTGAATATATTTTAATGGTCCCTCGAGATATGATCAATAATAGAACTTAAATACTTACAATTGAACCATTAAAATCGATCGATTCAAACAATTGAAACAAAAATTATATATACAATCGATTCAATATTCGATTCAATTATTATAATTTTAGTTATTACTCTGATATCGAGCTTTTTCAAAGCTTTTATGATCCGAAAGTCTACTAAATCTTCTTCTCCCACGAGATAAAATGATCAAACAAACAGCTAGTTGCCTAGATAAACAACAAAAGATTAGCCCTTTTGGGGTGTAGGAGGTGTAGCTTGTTGGCTCCCTTCATTATACCATCGGTTGCTTCGCAAGCCCGGTGACTGACCTTTTCCTTATTGGTTGCTTCGGAAGCCGGTTGAATAACCTTTTCCTTTACCTTCTGCTTACAACAAAATGCAAATATAAATCAAAATCAATTTGCTCAATATATAAAAAGGATGCACACTAACACATATAATTTCATTGTCTCATTTATTTTGACTAAATTATCCATTTAATATGATATAAAATAAACATATATAATGAATTAATTAAATTTTACGATATTAAATACGAAGTAATGAATTAAAATTTATAATCGATATATAAAGGAAATTGTAATAGCATAATGCCCCTTTTTCAACTGGAATGGATGTGTATTGTTACTCAAATATCATGTATATGTATCGATCGAGTTTACCTTTAATATATATATATATATATAGTTATAGAAAATTTGATGGTGTACGTGTACCAGGGTTTCTTGGGTCCGGAGGTGGACAATTAAAAACGAGTTGGCAATGTAATTGACAGATGAAACTTTCAGGCATCAAACAGTATTTTGTGTTAAGAATGTGGGTCCTGCACCATTCCTTTACACCAATTAAAGGCCACAGGTCTTACTCCTTTTTTTACTAAGTCCTAAATAAATAAATAAAAAAGGGGTTGTGTTTTAGGAGTGGATGAGAGTGTGGCGTCGAAAACTGAGAGGGAAAAAGAAGAAAAGGAAAGTCAGAAAAATAAAGATAAAAGTGAAAAAGAGAGGTAGTTGAATGAAAATTGATTTATGATTTAATTGAGTTAAAATTTTATCAAATAAGATTATGATTTAGAATTTTATATTTTGAATGAAAAAAATCAAATTTGAAGTTTTTTAAGAATAAATCTAATTTATTGAATTATTCATTTAGTGAAATTTTTTTAATTTTAATTCTAATAAAAAAAATTTTATATGTTTATTATTTGATAATAAAAATTATTTTTGATAATTTGTGCTTTTTATCTTCTATACGGAAGGAATTTTTACATAAATTTTAATGTGTTTTATTTTTTTATTATTATTAATTATTGATTATTGTTATTATTATAAGTTTATTACATATTGCTTTTACGTTGATGCATTTGTCATTTCATGCCGAACACTTTGTCCCACAATCTCGCATGCAACGTGGGTTAGCTGTTCCTTGTGTCTTAGCTACTTGAACCACGTTTGACGATATTAAGGAACACAAAAACAACCTCACAAGGACAATTTTCTCCACCTTTTCTCCCAAAAAAAAAAAAAAAACACTTTCATTTACTTGTTCCCATTTTTTAAAAGATGTCCAAACTTTTCGAGTGCTCGATTAAATTCTAATTCAAAGAAAATTAATTAAGTACTTGAATTATTGTCTAATTTTTTCAAAAGAAGAAAAAAAAGAAAAAGTAAATTGCTAAGTGAAGGTTTGATTTATATATCATGAATCTTTCTAAATTTACTTAACGTTTCTCCTTAAAGATCTCCAGAAATTGCTCTTTCTTTCTTTTTAATTAGAAGGTCAATCTATCTCAAAACTTTTGCTTTTTTTTTAGAACCAAACGTATGTATCTATTTTACAACTTTGATTATCAACATGTCATCACTTTATAATTACTTTTTTAAAAAATAAATGTCATATTTTATATATGCACCATATTTGGATTTTAATTTTTTGTACATATCATATTTGAATTTTTGTACATATCAACAATAGAACTTAAATGCTTGCAATTGAATCAGCCATTAAAATTAATTGATTTAAATGATTGAAGCGAAAATTATACTTAATATTGATTCAACATTCGATACGATTATTATAATCTTATTTATTACTCAGAGATTGAACTCTTTCAAAGCTTATATGATCTGAAAGTTTACTACATTTTCTTCTCCCCCAAGATAACATGATCAAACAACAATTAGTGGCCTTGATTAACAACTAATGATTTACCCTTTTGGGGCATAGGAGGTGCACCTTGTTGGCTTCATTCATGATGCCATTGGTTGCTTCGGAAGCCTGTTGAATGATCTTTCCCTTTTCCTTATGCTTACAACAAAATGCGAATATATAGCAAAATCAATTTGCTCAATATATAAAGTGGATGCACACTAATACAATATAATTGCATTGTCTCATTTACTCTAACCCAATTATCCACCTAATACGACATGAAATAAGTGTAAGTAATGACTTAATTAAATTTTACAATATCAAATACGAAGTGATGAACCAACATATATAATCAATATATAAGTAAAATAGTAATAGCATAATGCTCATTTTTCAACTGGAATGGATGTTTATTATTTATTCAGATATCATATGTATGTATCGATCGAGTTTACATTTTAAAATATATATATATATATATATATAAATAGAAAAATAGATGGTTTACCTGTACCAGCGTTTCTTCAGTTGGAAGGACTTAATTCCGGAGATGCGCATTTATAAAAGAATTGGCAATGCAATTGACAGAAGAAACTTCCAGGACACAAACAGTACTTTTCCCCACAATCTTGCATACAATCTGAGTTAGATGTTGTATGTGCATTAACTATTTGAACAACGTTCAACAACATTAAGGAAAACAAAAGCAGCCTCACAAGGGCAATTTTCTCCATCTTTTCTCAAAAAAAAAAGAACACCTTTTACTAGTTCCTTTTTTTACAAACTTTTCGAGTACTCCGTTAAATTCTAATTCAAAGAAAATTAACAGAATACTTGGATTATTGTCCAATTTTTCCAAAAGAAGAAAAGAAAAGAAAAAGTAAATTGCCAACATCTTATGAAAATAGAAGTTTGATTTTTATATCATGAATCTTTCTAATTTATGTAACGTTTCTCCTTAAAGATCTCCAGAAAATGCTCTTTCTTTTTCTTTAATTAGGTTAATCCATCTCAAAACTTCTGATTTTTTTTTTTTTTGGAGCCAAAATTATGTATCTATTTTACAACTTTGATTGTCAACATGTCATCATTTCACATTTTATAGATGCACCATATTTGGTATTTGGATTTTTTTGTTTTTTTGTACATACCATATTTGGATTTTATAACTAACGAAGATTTAAGAAATAGAAATAAATTAAAATTTAAAACTTAATTCAATTTGTTCGTACAATTATCATATATATATATATAATTTTATAGCATCCAATCATGTATTATAAAATAGAAAAATCCACGGTGTCACGAAGGACATTATAGGTTTTACATATATTTTAATGGGTTTAAGACAAATAGATAAACTGGTTTACAATAGAGGAAACAAATAAATTGAAATAAAGCTACTCACGTCGAGTTCATAAAATTTCTCCTTAAAAAGGATTAAATAAAATAAATTCAAGTAAAGCTATTTATGTTAAATTCACAGAGTTTCTCATTAGTAGTTAAATAAAAAAAAAAAACATAAAGCTGATTAAATTATCCTTATCTAGCAATTTCAAAATATCAATAATATATATAGTAAGAAAGATCAACTTGCTTGTCCTAATTTTACTTATCTCTCATTTTTTAGATTTATTAAAATCAAAAATTAAAAAATATATAAAACTTTTTTAATTTTTATGCTATATAAGATGATTCTTCCTTTTATATATATATACACACACACACACACGCAGATTGCTTTTGACTACAATATGACCCATTTGGCGGCAACCAACTGACAACGATGTTGAATAGCGATGGCATTGGTTATGGAAATTGCCAACAATAATTAAAATTCAATCACTAAAAAAAGTGTAAACAAATAGCATTATCTTACATTTAGGTCATTGTGTATGATTATAATAAAAATTCTAAACTCAGAACAAAACGAGTTCAGATATAAACCTACCGTCCATCAATCCAGACATGAGAACCAATCCTGCGAGCCAATGTTGTTCAACCCTTAAACCTCGCCTCATACTCGTGGGGTTGCTGCAAGAGTTCATGAATTTAATAAATACCAAAATTACTCCCCTAAAACGTAGAACCAGAGATCCCTAGACCAAAGTGAACACCAGAAAACATACTTGACTAAACCTAACTATCAGGAATTGGTAGTAACTCCTTCACTGTATCTGTCCTTAATTATCCCTAAAGATGCATATGACCATTGCTAGGTGATAGTACCAACTAGTTTAACCTGGTTAGTCTGAATGATAAATTAGAGAACAAGGTCAATTCAAACTTCAGTAAGGATTAACGAGACCATGAAAGCCTAAAGGATTTGACTGAAAAAGGATGATGAATATATTTGGTTCTGTGCAAATGTTTGAAGTATGTCAGGGTGGAAAACACATTTACCATAAATAAAGCTGATATTGATCTGCCTGCAAACCATCTCATGTGCATTGAACGTTGAACTTTAGCCGCTGCATCTGCCGAGTCAAATTGAAGATAGACATAACCAGCACTGTTTCTGTAGAAAAGATAAAAAAGTGTTACAAGAAAAACATTTTCCATTAAACTGCAGTTGGGAAATGAAAAAGCAAATCCTTATTTCATCATAAAAGTTCATAACAATTTTCAGTTATTAATAAAATATGAATTGGTAAATCAGACAAGTTAAAATGAAAAAGCCTGAGAATGCTTTAGAATACAAGTCACTGATTGGCACCGAAAGATGTGAGTTAAGCATGATGAAATGACCACTTGCAGTATGTAAATTCTTCTCCTACCTTGTAGAAAAGAAGGTCAACTACCACCAGATATAGACCATGCATAATCGCCATAACTTGCACATGTCTAAATAGTTTCTTAAAATAATACTAACAGATTAATAGACATAAAAGATGTGACCATCCCCTTGCATTAGATAATTCCTATATATCCAGTCTATGAAGAACCTGATTGATGGAGACACCATTGATAGCCATTCAAAATGGGAACTCAATTATTAATTTATAGGTTAATAGAGTTATCAAGTAAAGCAAACCAAAGCATAGATCGACAGAACTTTCCCCTTGTACAACATAGATACACCATTTGCTCTTTGTTAATAAACAATAAAGAATAGCTATAAAATATACTTATACACATTTCGAGAGCATAATGATGAAGCTAACTACAAAAAAAAACAGCTGTAAAAAATTAGTTTATCCAATTGACAGTGTAATGCTTACTTGTCCACATAAATATGCTTCACCCTGCCATATTTACTGCATTCTTCTTCAACATCCTCTTTAATTTCCAAATCAAAATCTGGTTCCGTCTGCAATTCAACTTACAGAAAATCACTACGCGGTAAAAGGAAGGAAAGGAGACAAAAAGTAACAAGGAAATAGCATGTTTAGAACAGAAAAAAATTTCAAACCTCAGTTGCAGGATCAAACATATTCTTCAACAGCAAACATCCACTGGACTGTCCAATAGGATCAAGGGCTGTAGTAGACATGACTGGAGGTAGAACTGGTGCTGGATATGCACGTAGTCCATTGACAGGTAATGTAGCAACCTGTGGATTTGGAGCTGACCCATTAAGGAGGGGTACTCCCAGGGAGCTTGTAATACTGTAAATCTATTACATTAGATACATAATATGATTAAACTAGAAAGGACTATTTGAAAGTACAAACCAACCTTGTCGCAATACCAGAGCGATCCAGTTTCTGCATAAGTGATGCTCTCGATTGAGCATTCAAAGACTGGATAAAAGATACAGGAACCAATTAAGCAGAAAGAAGAAGAGCAAGGGAAAAAAAAAACAATTCGTAAGCAACTACTATTAGAATGAGACAAACTCGGAACAAATCTATAAACACCAATATTCATTAAATACCACTATAATAATATGCATTTTAACTCACCAAGCCACCACCCTCATCATCATCAAAGTCCACAGATTTTGCTGCAGTATCTTGGATACCAACATGATCAGTAACAGATGAAACCTATATGCAAATTTAAACACAAAGATGTTAATTTGGAAGACTACAATAAAAAGACAGTTATAGTCACAGAAGAACAAACACACAACTGATACTGAAATTAGACTACTATAACGTAATGCTACAAGTTCATAAAATTAACAAGCCTACCTTAATGGTTCGACCAGCAATCTCCAGTTTTCCATTCATTGCACTTTGAGCTGCTTTTGCATGCTCAAGTTGTGCAAACTGTAAAAACAAAAGGCAAACAAGAACATGCATAATTATGACTATACAGGAAAATAGACATTATAAACTCAAGTCTTCAGCTATAACTAACCTGAACAAACCCAAAACCTTTGCACTGCCCAGTCTCAAGGTCAAGCGGTAGTTGCACAAGCTCCATGGGACCAAAGGGTTCAAATATCTGAGCCATTAACATAAGATGAAAAAAGGGCTTGAAATGAAAATAATGTACCTTTAAATAACAACAATGACAACAATAAAACAGGATAATATCAACATGGAAAAAAGTTGAAGTAAAAAAAAGACATCTCCAACACATTTATGAAACTCCTTCCAAACTATTTCCTAAGCAACTACTTCTAGAATTTGCTTCATCCACAATTTTTCTTTTAACAACAATCCAGTCAGCAATTAAAAAGATAGTTTATAGAACATCAAAAAATAAATGATTAACAGTCATTGATAAACCAAATCAAATAATAGTAACTTCTAATTCAGCTGAAGAGATAATGGTCATATTACCTGTCTAAGCTGAATTTCTGTCATATTGAAGTGCAAGTTCCCCACATATAATTTTCTATCAACAGCTCCATATGGTCCAGCAACACCACCTGCGGCTGCACCAGAAGTATTGGACTGAACAAGATTCTTTTCAGCTTCTGAAGGTTTAACCATCACAGGTTGACCAAGAAGCAATTGACCAGACAAGGCTATCGCCATTGGCACAGACATCACATCGTAAAACTCAATATACCTGCAATTTTATCAGTGACTGTAATTAGTTTCTCTAAAAATATGAGGGAAAAAATTACAATCAAAACTTACAAAGCATATAGCAAAGAGATCTAGGGAAAGAAAAACTGTAGTGAAGAGGGCTCATGCTGAGTTATCTTTTGTTGAATCTGATGGCTCATGCAGTAAAAAAAGTTAGCTCAGCATAACAAGATTAGAAAATCAGAATAGATATCATACACCACAATAATCAAACAACACAAAAAGATTCGAAAAGGAGGTCAAAAGATTGGCATGTCATTTTCAACATCAACAAAAAGCAAAAGCTGGGGACGGCACCACCTTATCGCTTAGATTATACTCATAGAACAAAGATATCAGAAAGAACTCAGAAAACTACCAAAATTAACAATGAAGTATCAAGAAAACATCCCTCTTTCTTTCAACCTCAACAACCACAAAATTTAAAAAGAATATAGTAGAAGAAAAAGAAAAAGCCTAGCAGGGAGTGGCTAGTTGTTAAGAAAAAACCACTTTTAGATTAAACTGTTTGTAGTATCATTAAATCCTTATCAGAACCACTAGCAAGTTAAGAATTGGAATAAGGAACCCATGTTTATAAGTTGCCTTTAATGCATAGAAAATTCAAAGTAGAAGAGCGGAGGGAGAAGAAAAAAATTCAGGTTTATGTCATCTACCTTGTGAACGCAGCATGAATTGATTAAACATGAGTGCTATTTCCATCATCCCTCATCATTATCGCATTGCTAGTGCATTTAAGAATACAGTTAAACTTGATTCTTGAAAACGAAGATGCTAATACTTATTTCACAAGACAGCAAAAGAAAGTATAACTTTGTTCACATAAAGGCACATACCCAACTCCCTTTGATCGTCTTGAATTCCTATCCATGATCAGTCGAACATCCCTCACCTGGAAGTAATTAAGGGAAACAAAAAATTTGAGTTCAAACAGAAAATAATAACCTCAAAACATTAAATTTACGGGGAGATTCCAGACTTTCAAGCTTCCTGATGAAACACTTATCAAGGGGTGTCTGCAAGATTCTATTGTTCAACACATGTGCTTTTAACTCACCCCACATATATAGTATGTTGAGACACAACAAAGTCATAATACTACTTGTAACTGAAGGCAGAGGAGCACATACTGCAAGAGGAAGCAGATGTATCTCAATAATATGCATTCAAATCATTCTAAACATTGTTTTATGCATTAACTTATGGTTATTATCAGAAATGTATAAAGATACAAATGAATTTGAAAAAAAATTGCAGACTATGAAAAATGAGATTGCAACATACTAGAAATCTTAATAACGAGTGTTTTAATGGAGATAATCCTAGTATTTCAAATGTCCTTTCATCATTCCATTAAAATTTTTCCAAACCAATTAAGGTGAAATCCAGGCATACTTGAAAGAATGGTGTAGAAATTATGGTACAACCTTCATACAAGAAATAAAATACCCATGTTAAACCTGACTAACCTTGCCTGCTTTTGAGAACAATTCATAGATATCTCTCTCAGTTGCTTTTAGAGGCATCTGTCATCAAGCAATTCAAGGTGAAGAATAACTAATAATCAGTACAAATGAAAAAACATGCAAGTTCATACACGCATAAATATAACATTAATGCCTAATAATCCTTTAACGACGAAAGCAAAAGACCAAAAAGGGCAATGCATCTACCTGGTAAGCAAAAACAGTTCTCTGGTCCCTCTCAGGATCAGCTTCAGGCTCCACTACCTCTTTCTTCTCCTTAAATCTTCTGCAACATCCATATTCATTAAATAATTTAGAATACCACAAAAATCATGCTCTAAAAATAACAAGTCTGCACAAATCTATAACAGCTTGCCATCCACATCATAGCAAAAATATGCATCCAAATGGCACATTAGTTATATCACTCTAAAGCACAAAACTAACTAAGAAACCCTCCCTTCCCATTTCTTCCCTTATCAATCACTCAAATAAACAAATTCTTGACCATCAAAAAATAGCATGAACTTCATCCCCAAGGGGACACCTGAACAATGAGCACCCCCACCATGTTTTTTGAACTTGCTTAGATCATGTCAAAGACAACACAATGCAAATATATATTTAATTGAATTCAGCAATCCTTTAGTCATCTCTACAATCAGCACAAACATACCAAAAGTCCCACATTGGTGATCGAAAATTCATTTTGCGCATATACTTTACAAGAAAATTAATGATAAAAGGATACCTGCTATCTCTGATGTCAATTTCACGTTCTCTCTCCCGCTCCCTCTCTCGCTCGCGATCACCCTCGTGCCTCCTTGACCTACTGCTGCTTCTCTCTCTCCTCTCTCTCTCCCTTTCCTTCTCCTTCTCCCTCTCCCTCCTCTCTCTCTCCTTTTCCCTCTCTCTCCTCTCCCTATCCCTCTCTTTCCCCTTATCCTTATCCCTATCTCTCCTTTCTCTGTCCCTTTCCTTTTCCTTTTCCCTCTCTCTACTGCTCCTCTCTAAATCCCTATCCCTCTCTCTCTCCCTTTCCCTTTCTCTATCGCGGCTGCTTCTACGCCGATCCTTATCCCGATCTCGGTTCTCCTCGTCGTCCTCATCGCGGCCGCCTCTCGATTTCTTGCTGGTGCTCTTGCCTTCATTATCCTCTTCCTCTCTCTCGCCATCCCTCTTCCTATAGCTTCTCTCGCTCTTGTCTCCCGATCCTCCTCCGTCTTTCTTCTTCTTCTTCTTCGAATCTTCCTGCTCTTCCACGGTTTTTTCTAAATACTCGTACTCGTCGAAATCCATTATCCTTCTTTTTTTAAATTCGAAGATTTCAGCTCTTTTTCTTCAAGGCATTTGAATTAGGAACCTTGAAGAAATCAATTGCAGGGATAGTGCTCGGAAAGTTAGGGTTTTGTTGAGGTTTCGATTGAGGGGTTTGGCTGTTGGGGCTTAGGTTTGTTTAATTTTGGTCCTCGAAATTTGGGAAGGGTGCTATTGGAACAAAGTCCGTGGGTTTTAAAGAGAATTTGCTAAGAAATTTGCAGCTAGATGTACTAAGGTATAAATTTTATAATTTAATTGAATGGTCGAAATTTATCATTAATATGATGTGGTTTTATTTTTATTTTTTAATTTTAAAATAAACTTATCATTATATTTTAAATTTTGCAATAATTAAAAAAATATTTATTGAAAATTTTATTAAAAAACTATTTTATATTAAATAGTGGGTAGTTTTTTAAAAATTAAATGAATGTAACTTTTAATTTTAAAAAAGTAAAATTAAATAAAAAAATCTAAATTTTTATAATAAATAACATTTATACCATTCATTTTATACGTTTACTAATACTTAATTAGAGTTTTTCCTTTTTTTTGTCAATCCTTATTAACTCTGTGACACAAACTCATAAATTTTATAACTTATAAATAATAAATATATATATATGAATTTAAGGAAAGCTCTTCGATTGAAAATTTGTTTTTCTAAATAATAAAAAAAAAGGTGTATATGCATCACCCCTTTAATCTTAGAGAACAAAATATTATCATCATTCATGTAATCAATTAATAAAATTTATATTCTTAACTCTATTCAATCGCTTTATCTTTATTTCTTATTTTTCATTCATGATTTTTATTGCACAATTTATTTAATTTTATAAAGGGTTTTTTTTTTTAATCATGTAAAGATAGTTGAGAAGGTGGCTTTAAGTATAGAACGAAAAATATATTTAAAATTGAAATATCAATGGTAAAATCTCTTGTACATATGGTGAATATATGATTATAGTTAGAAGGAGAAATACACTGTTGATACATCAGCTCTCTTAGATGAGCTTAACACAAAGATTTGAGAGATAGAACCGATATTTAAGACATACGTTCTCCGTCAGAGTGTTGTCTTTTGATAAAATTATTGATGCAGTAAAGAAATACAATAACAGCGGTGATAATCAAAGCTACTATTTATGTAATTATGTAAGTGCTGACGATGATAATTGCTGTCAACAAAGAATATTTTCACGCTGGAACTTAAGTGAATGAAAACAATTATAGAGCTACCTGATATTCCTCTTCTGTATATGTATTACGTCATTCTGTTCAATGGGAATCTTTCTTTCTGCCGATCAACCCTTTCTTGAGGAGAAATTACTTGTGGCATTGTCATACCTCCGGAAACGATGATCTCTGCATTATCACCAATAATTAAGAATAATGAATATACATAGTTGAAAATAAAGTAGAGATTGATTGTTCATTATTGGAAAGCTGGAGTACTACTGCACAAGTTGTTTAAACCATGTTATGCAAGAAATTATGGATAGGTATCAATTGATTTTTGTACATTGCTATTACTCAGATTTGGTATCCTAGCAAATTTTGGATAGCTTTGTTTTTTGTCATGTTCATTCTTGCACATGAAATCAACAAGGTTAGATCAACTACAAGCATATGGGTCTTGGCATAAATCAACAAGAAAAATAGAGAAAATACCTATGCCTTCTCGGATCGACAGATTGGGCCTTATGATCTCTTTGGAGTTCACCAGGAATATATCACCAATGTAAAGATGGTTTGTTGGGACAAAAACACTGCATAGCTCTTCGTCCTCATTTTCTCTCTACACAATCAACAAGCAGAACTACTAAAGGAACTTGTACGCAAAAAACAAAAATTACAGAAAGGAGCATTTTGCTATTTACATGCCTCAAAAAATATGACAAAGAGCAGTGTTTATTCAGGGATCTCGTAGAACAATCGGCATGTTATAATCATCCCAGTAGAGCTAGCACTATATCATCAAAGCTCATCTTGATAGAGCATTCCATGAGAGAACATAAAAAAACACCCATGGATAGTTACCATAGAGACCTTCCCATGCCAATTTGTTTTGCAGAGCATATCAAGTCTTGTTTACCATAAGAAAAGCCTTAATCATATTCTTTGTTAAATCAATTAGACAGGCATATAAGAGGCAAATTTAAGTTTAAGTGGCCATTTAATGATCACATGGGAAGCTTATATGGAATACATGGAAAAGCAGTGTATGTTGGCAAAACAAGAGATAAAATATTAAAATAGTACCTGAAGGATGACAGTGGATGTAATAAAGCCAAATGCATATTCACCAACACGTGGATGACGAATGATAGCCACCTCCTTAAATGCTGTTGTATTTTGATCTACAGGGACAAAGATAAAATCATTGTATGATTGAATCAAAGTCATCTAGTAACTATTCTTTCATGCCAATAAAACAGTATATCTTGGCTTATGAAAACATGTAAAAATAATTTTGTTGATGCAAATCACTTATTGAACTAAATTTATGACAAAAATCAGAATATCAGAGTAGTTAATTAGGTATAACCTGGAGATATAGCAGCACTAATTTGTTTCGAGGCTGAGTATATATGCCTAACAAAGGGCATTCGCTTTATAACCCATTCTCCCACTGAGAAAACAGCAGCTCCCAACCATGATGAAACAAAAACACCAACAAAGAAGACAAAGAGCAAAGATGTGATAAATCCCAGTCCTGCAAAAAGTAATCACAGCTCAGACAATCATTGCTTAGAGCATAAAAATCTCCAAAGAGATCAACATAAAATGCAAGAATGAAGATAAATAAAAGTTTTTGTCGATGAAGCAGTATGTCGTGGCATGTACATATAATAATCATTCCAAATTGATCACAAAATTTACAAACTAAAAAATTATACAAATCATAAACGCTTCAGATGATATTCAGAAAAAGGAAAAAGATGTCAATTTTTGAAACCCTCAGGCTACAACTTCTAGAAGCAATGTTCACTATGAAGTTAAAAACCTCAATTGCAATCTTGAGTGCTATCCTTCCTTGAATTTCCTTACAGAACATTATATGATGATCTGCTGATTTCAATTTTTGCAGTAAACATACATTTTTAAGTTATGAATAAATTTTGGAATTTGATGATAGATAAGCATGGTTAACTAGTGATAATAGGAAGCAAGAACTTATAAACTTAGCCATACTTGACTCATCAAACATCGAAGCCATGTGTAGTACAGTTAAACTTACCAAATATGTCAATGCCAAGTTGTTCATATAATGGACTGAAGAAACCGTCAACAAACTGAATAAACCACCAAGTAATGAAAAATGTAACTGCCACAGGAAAAAGGACCACACTGCCATTTTGCATGTCAACACACCATTAGGCTGGAAATATCAAATAATATAATGAAGGACTGAGGACAATTTGGGAAATATAAAAGCTTAATACCATCCAGTCATGAACTTCTTTGACACCCAACTCTGGAGGACAAAACAACAAGCCTGAAAAATCATTAAAACACAAATGCTCAGACTTGAAAATAAAATCGCAAGTATTTCTCACATTATCAACACAAAATATTTATTCTAAAAAAATGCTCTAATTGCTCCCATACTTTCTAAGACTTTATTGAAACTAGCACATAATTATTCTTTTTTATATGGTGCAAACATAGTTACTTTAAAACCACTAAAGTAGTCAAAATCTGAACCGTTCCTACTAATGACTTGAAAATATTTAAATTCCTTTAAAAATAGAGTGCTTGAATTTCCATAAAGTATTTCAACATTAGAAATGTCAAATTAGTTTAACCAAGAAATGTATAAACCATAAACTTTATATTGGAAGCACTCCATTGTACAAGTCATTCAAGGTGTGTTTGGTACATAAGATTATAATAGAATAGGAATAAGATGATATTATGATTAGTATTAGATTAAATAATGTCATATTATCTTGTGTTTGATATATGCAAGAATTAAGATAAGATAATTTATTTATTGGTCAAAATTATCCTTCCTCAAAGTTTATATAATTTAAATTATTGATGTAATTTTTAAAGGTATAATCAAACATATAAATTCAATCCCATAAATTAAAAATAATCCTTTTCACTGTGAGAAAATTGAATCATCCTATGCCAAGAGGACAATTAATCCTCATTATAATCTTATTCCTTTCTTTAGATACAACCCAAACATAATATAAAATGATTATTATCCTACCTTATCCATCATCACATGCATCAAATATGACCTCAAATTCTCAGTATTTTAGACAAAAAAGGATCATTCAAATTCTAAGCCACAAACATTTATCCTAAGCACTTTCATTCTCCCAATACACCGCTGTTGATTAGTTTTCCACAGTAAAAAGACCAGCCAACTTCATCAGCGCATCAAGATTTTCCCTCTTAAAGGTTAAAGCCAGACGGTCGAGCATTCAAAAACAACAAATTTTCTGGATATAACAGGGGATCCAACCAGTTGACAGCAATTAAACATAGTGAAGAAGAGATTATGAAAAATCTTTAGCGGTATTTGACCATTTTCCTTTTCTGCACTCAATTTTTCGTTAGTCACAAAGTACATTATTTCCAAAGCTTCAATTACAATTGCATTTGGATTAATAATTTCAAGATAAGTCAAAGAACAAAGATCTGAAAACTCGGTGTGAAATTGGTCGATTATTGAGGGAAGTCAAAGCTAAATTTTAAAAGCGCATAAAAAAATGGGGGCGGGGGGGTAAAAGGGCGAACTGGACCTTGCGACTGGAGGAATTGGGGGAGCTAGGTGGAGACTTAGCCGGATCTTCGGGATCGACACCACCATTTTCGGCTTGGCTCAGTGGAATCGACGTTGATTCTTTCTCTTCCGCCATTGGCTTTTCTTCTTTTCCAGTGAGAAAAAATCTTGACTAAGAGGGATGTGGGAAGATGCAAGTTAGAATGTGAGAGAAAATGAAGGGATTTTGATTTTTAAGTGTTACTGTAATTACTAAATTTAATTTAATTTAATTATGAAGCTTGGACAATAAGGAAAAAAATATGATTGGATAGGAATTCGGGGTCAAAGCCAATTTTGCATCCTTAAGAAATGTCACGTGGCGCGCGGGTTTGGGTTCGGCTTAGGTTTCTCCCTCGCAAAGCAAGTAATATTTGGTGGCGGTATCACGGTTCGGTGTTAATAAAGATTTTTTTTTTTAGTTTTTAATTTATTTTTAAATTCTCTATTTTATTATATATTTGATTAAAAATAATATTATATTTTTTAAAATTTATAATTTTTAAATATTAATTATAATAATATGTCAATTAATTTAAAAAATAATTGACATAACAATTTCTTCATCAGTAATAAAAAATTTAAAATAATAATATTTTTAAAATAATATTAATTAGTTATTATAGACATTCATTGATAGAACCGTGTAACCTTACTTTTGTCAAATCCACTTCAATCGGCCCTCCTAATGATTTTAAAATTGTTATTTTACTGTGGATATTATTTTTGTAATGTATAAAATCCACGTACAAAATTTTTTTATGCAAGTAAATTTTAAATTAATATCTTTAGTTTAAAATATAAATAATTAAATAATAAAAAATTTATTGTAACCAAATTTGACCAAAAGTTTTCATAAAAGTTCAACAACTAAACCTACCGCTTCCATTTCAATTTAAGTAGAGCGCATGAAGCTATTAATTGCAATTTGTACTGCAAACCAGGTGATCCCTAACCCTAACTTAAACGGGTTCAAAAACCCGCCAATAAAAAAGAAGCGCGCAGTCCAAGATTCACTTTCTCCCAAAGAAATTGCTAGAAATCAAAAGTTAAATGAATAATTAATAAAAGGGTTAAATATAAAAATAATTTTTAATTTTTTAATTTTTTATAATTTCAATATTTGAATAAATAAAATTATTAATTTAATATTTTTTTATTTTATTATCATATTAATATTTTAAATTAATACTATTATTTTATTAACTAACGTGACATTATATTCAATAAAATTTTGATATGTATTAAAAAATTTAAAATTTTTTTAAAATTTTAAAAATTTATACAAAATTCATAAAAATTAAATTTAAATATTTTAAAATTTTACTAATGTGTTAATTGATAATATAAGATTAATTGAATTTTTGTGACACTTGTTAAGATTTTATTGGACGATAATATTAAGTTAATAAATTAATTAATTAATTTTAAATATCAAAATGAATGATAAAATAAAAATTATAATATTAAATTAATAATTTTATTTTTTAAAATATTAAATTAATAAAAAATATAAAATTAGGTTGATTTTTATATTTAACCCTTAATTAAACAAACATCAAATCAGATCTGAGCTCAGTCGGGACGGCTTTCCTTTGAATCTTCTTTCGTACTCTTTACTTTTTAAAAAAAAGAAAGTATAAAAGGATTAAAACGTGGACCCCACTCACCAGCTCTTCTCCCATCACCCGCCACCCACGCGACAACAACAACTCAAACACGAACAAACGCGCACTCAAAACTTAAAAGAACCAAAAAAAGCCATTCAAGTTCAACACTCCCAACCTAATCCATCCATTTTTGGCGGGAAATTTTCAAAAAATCCCAAACGCAATGCAAAAAACGAGGGAAACCCAAGAAAAAATCAAAACCCAAACCCCCAAAATTTAAAACCTTTGTAGGTTTTCCCCCTCCTTATATAAAGTTCGCTTGGGGTTGCTCATTTTTCCGCAAGCAGTGAAACCTGTTCGACGAAATTTCGTAGAGAGGGTGCCAAGAAAGAAAGGGTTTAACAATGTATGTGATTAAGAGAAACGGGAAGCAAGAGGCGGTCCATTTTGATAAGATAACGGCGAGGTTGAAGAAGCTGAGCTATGGACTTAGCATCGACCACTGCGATCCGGTGCTCGTGGCTCAGAAGGTCTGCGCTGGTGTTTACAAAGGGGTTACTACTAGCCAGCTTGATGAGTTGGCTGCTGAAACCGCCGCCGCTATGACAGCTAACCACCCCGATTATGCTTCCGTAAGTTTCTCTTTAAAGAAAAATAATTTTCAAAACATGCGTAAATTTTTACTGATTAAAATGTGTAATTGCAGTTGGCGGCGAGAATTGTTGTTTCTAATTTACATAAAAACACTAAGAAATCATTCTCTGAGACGTAAGTGCCTTTAATTTAAAGTAGTAATGCTTGTTTCTTTGTTGGGAGAGCGACAATTGACGTTTTGATAACGGGTGGTTGATAAATTGTAGGATTCAAATCATGTATAATCATTTCAATGAGAGATCTGGACTGAAGGCTCCTTTGATTGCTGATGATGTGTATGAGATCATCATGAAGGTATTATAAGTATCCTCCCCTTTTTTAAACTCAAATATTGGTTGTTGCTTTTGACGTTTGTTGAAATGTCTAGTTTGAATCATGCTACACTTTATAGCTAGTCTATGATTCAATTTCTTCTTTTAATTAATGCCAAAATTGTGTTGGTCGTTCAAAATCTTGGCATGTTTATGGAATTGGAATTATGGAAATGGAAGTGATCCAATTGTAATATATTGATATTGTGTATCTAGCTTATGGCATTTGATGGTGATTGTGCAAACATCATGGCCATACAAAATCCATATGGTCTAGTAATCCCCTAATTCCTATGTACGTGAATGTGGTTACATAATTGTGAAAAATAGACTGTTTGAATTTGTTGATTATTTGTTTGTTCAATTGTTAGCTTTCTTTTTGTAGATCTTTTTTCTTCAGTTTTAATGCCTTTAAGTTATTGGTATTTGTAATCTTTCTTTACGTATTTTTCTCTTTTAAATTCCTTTTATCTGTAATGGGTTATATATAAAATTTAATTTTATTAATTGTTTTTGTTTTAGAATGCTGCTTGGTTGGATAGTGAGATCATATATGATCGGGATTTTGACTATGATTACTTTGGCTTCAAAACCCTTGAGAGGTCCTACCTCTTGAAAGTTCAAGGGAAGGTTATAGAAAGGCCTCAACACATGTTAATGAGGGTCGCTGTTGGAATTCATAAGGATGACATTGATTCTGCTATAAGAACTTATCACATGATGTCTCAAAGATGGTTCACTCATGCTTCTCCCACGCTTTTCAATGCTGGAACTCCAAGGCCTCAAGTATGTTTTGTGTACAAACATGAGATTAAGTTCCTCAGCTTTAATGCCATTGTTTGTTAAATTCTTTTGCTTACATGTCTAGTTCTTTGACTTGTGTTCTGGCAGTTGAGCAGCTGTTTCTTGTTGTGTATGAAAGATGATAGTATTGAAGGAATATATGATACTTTAAAGGAGTGTGCTGTTATCAGCAAATCAGCTGGAGGGATTGGTGTCTCAGTTCACAATATTCGAGCCACAGGCAGTTATATTCGTGGAACAAATGGTACGTCTAATGGCATTGTCCCAATGTTGCGGGTGTTCAATGACACTGCTCGTTATGTTGATCAAGGAGGCGGGAAAAGGAAGGGTATGCCCAAATTGTTGTACTTTCCTATATTATGTTTTGTGACAATGTTTGATTATCCTTTTATTAAAGTGATGTTTTTGATGCATTTAGGTGCCTTTGCTGTATACTTGGAGCCATGGCATGCTGATGTTTTTGAGTTTTTGGACCTTAGGAAGAACCATGGAAAGGTTATTTTATATAGTCTGAATTTGTTTGCATGAGCTATATTATTTGTTAATTTTTATTATATCCAATAATGTGTTAGTTTTGCTGTTGTAGGAAGAGCACCGTGCTCGTGATCTATTTTATGCTCTTTGGGTGCCTGATCTTTTTATGCAAAGAGTCCAGAGTAATGGGCAATGGTCATTATTCTGTCCTAATGAGGCTCCAGGCCTGGCAGATTGTTGGGGTGAAAAATTTGAGAAGCTTTATATTCATTATGAAAGAGAGGTTAATACTGTTGTACCTTTTGTTAATGGTTGCATATTTTTCTCTCAACTAAAATTCAGTTACTAAAAGTTCTTCTGTTTAATATTTAGGGCAAGGCAAAGAAGGTTGTCCAAGCACAGAACCTGTGGTTTGAGATCCTGAAATCACAAATAGAAACTGGGACCCCTTACATGCTATTTAAGGTGATTTGTGCAACCAAGCTTTATATTTTGTGGTGTATTTATGTTCTCTGATGAGTATTATGATCTCAACTCTTTGTTTCCCCTCACTTTTGTTTTAGGATACTTGCAATAGAAAAAGCAACCAGCAAAATCTTGGCACCATCAAATCTTCAAATTTGTGCACTGAGATAATTGAGTACACAAGTCCAACAGAAACTGCTGTTTGCAATCTGGCATCTATTGCACTACCAAGATATGTGAGGGAAAAGGTAGGTGATACATAGTGCTTAAGTTGCACATGGTTGCTCTCTCTTGGGTCTGTCGCTAATGCATTTAACCTTTTTAACTTTTTACTTCAGGGGGTTCCACTGGATTCTCATCCATCTAAGCTTGTTGGGAGTAGGGGTTCTCAGAATAGATATTTTGATTTTGACAAACTGGCAGAGGTTTGATTCTTTACCTTGCAAATGCACTCATCCATCTAACTGTAGATGGGGTACCATCCATCTAGCATATCTTTGTGATGGTATAGATGTATTTGTATTGTTGTGTGATGTCTCTTTTAATATTATTAATAATGATTGTGTTTTCCTTTCTTGGGCTGTTGTGATAGGTTACTGAAATTGTTACAAGAAATCTTAACAAAATAATTGATGTTAATTACTACCCTGTTGAAACTGCCAAAAGATCAAATTTGCGTCACAGACCAATTGGTATTGGGGTTCAGGGGCTTGCAGACACATTCATCTTACTAGGCATGGCCTTTGATTCACCTGAGGTATATTTGATCACAAATATATTGATTTGATATGCTTTTTAACGTGAAATAGTTTTGTTTAATAGCTTACTGGCTTTTAATTTCAGGCTCAACAGCTGAACAA